GAACTGCAGCAGACAATTCCACAGAAGTATTTATTTATTTATTTATTTTTGAGAGAGATTTTTGGTATAGCATGCATGCACTCAGCAGAGAGATAGAAAGCAAGAAATCAGTTGTAATCCCCTCTCCATCTCCCCACAGGACTTTGTGCATGCATGCACATACACCCAGTGTGAATTTCAAGCCACTGGGTCAGGGACTCAAACTGTGACTGACTGCGTGGGAGTCCAGTGACATAACTATTAGTCTGTCTGCTGGTGTATATTATTTATTTATTTATTTATTTATTTATTTATTTACCTATTTTATTGTGAAATGTAACACATATCAATACAACTGCAACCACACATGCAGCTGTAAGTTTTATTCTTTTCTGCTCTTCTGTGCTGCCCAGTGTCCTCACAGTGAGGTGGAACTTTGGCAGGGTAGGAAGGGAGATTGTTGTATTTAAAATGGAGCATGCTGACTTCAGAGAGGTATGAGTAACAGTGCCTTTGCTTGTAGTGGAAATTTAGATACTAAAGAGGAATCACTGGGCTGCCCTTTCCTGCTTTTCTTTCACTAAGAATTGTAGATAAGGATGCTCTGTAATACACAGAGAAGGGACAGATTCTGAAGCTCCCATATTCTCTTTAATTCTTAGTTGTATTTTTCAACACTGGAAATGATTATCTGTAAATCTGAAGTTTGAGGGCATGTGACTAATTTCCTTTTTTTTTTTTTTTTTTTTTCAGATCTTACTAAAATAGTTATAGAGGAATAGGGAGATAAAAAAACCACAGAGTGAAGAGCAAGGAATATGGCTATAGATGAGAACTTCCCACATATTTTAGGAAGCTGGAATTTGCTTATATTGTGATATTAAAAGGAGACAGTCTCATTATGCTGTTGAAAACTATGGTCTTTGGCAAGTGATTAGGCTGTTCTCATGATTGAATCCTGATGAGTTCATAAGTAAAGAGAAAGGGACAGACATGCTGTGCTCCATATGTATGGTACTGCCCTCTGTTATATTGTAATGGAGCAAAAAGACCCTTTCCATGGTAAGTGAAAACTTATAAAGAGGTTGATTGAACAGTGGAAGCAAAGTTGGGAAGAAAGATGTATCTGAAAAAGAAAGTGATCTTGGGAGACAAGTCTATTTCAGGAACAATAGTTGTTAGTCTTTCTATTGTATAAGGTCAGTGGCTCAAGATATTAATACTATCTTACATAGTCTGATTGGTTACATGGTATAATTTAACTCAGGGAGTATCTTACTCAGGATACTAGTAAAAAATACTCCCATGTTGCAGCAGAATAGCAGGTCACAGGTGAAGTGAAGTCAGTCTGGTTCACTTTTTTTTTTTTTTAAAAAACATATTTTGAGTTGTTTTTTTTTTAAAGTTAATCTAGGTATTGGTTTTGTTAGTATTCTCATAAAAACACATTCTCGCTTTTGTTATTTTTTTCTCATGTATTTTTTGTATTCTTGTTTATTTTCTGTTTCAGGTTAGGCTCATATTTTTCTTTGAGATTAAAATTAAGTTGTTGAGGGTTTTTTAATTTTTTATGTCACTATTTGCAGGAATCCCATCAATTTTTATGTGTGGTATTTTTCTTGAATTCTTTCTTAAGATATCTTTGCATTTCCTGTGCTTGCTTGCTTGAGCTGGAACTCAGTGGTTAAGAGGATGGTTTTAATTGTTATGTATTTGAAATCTTTTCATCTTTACTTTTTAAAAAAAAGGTTTTTGTCTTAGGGCACCTGTGCTTGCACAGACACAGTGAAAGGGAAAGTGAAAAATCC